GCGCTGCCCATTTATACAGCAGAGGAGGAACTATTGCAGCCCAGTGCGTACGAGGCGCGATTGAGAGGCGCCCTCGTGCACGTCAAGGCCCGTGTTGTCCATCAGTATTTCCATCGCGACCGCACCGATAACTTCTTTGCCGACATACGCGAAATCAACATTATCGACTCTCCCCCACCCCCGCCCGATTCACCCTCAAAGAGAAGGTTTGAGGCGAGTATGCGGCGGTACGCAGAAAAGCGGCGTCGAGTAGGATGATTGTACCGGTCAGTCAAAAATTATCAGCATGTGTTGGCGGCGTCGATTCACATACAACTCTCATAGGCCTCAAATTAAATGTCTAACCTGTGAATATGCTATATACCACGGTCGGTCAATTGTCAAAATGGATGTAGGAATTGTTCACTATATGTTTATTGGATTATTGCGCCTCAAGTTGATATATACTTGGGCAGTCAAAGTTACTCTCCGCTCGGCGGCATCATGCAGGACGAACGCAATTGCTGCTTACCAACGAACCTAGCAACCCGGCAAGGGGACATCTCTGTAATATACAAGACACGGCACTAGCGAATGATTAGCTCCGACACATCAGTGAGGCGGAGTAAATGATGCCAAGGCTGACATAGACCTGGGGAATACACTTCCCTGGATCTAGGAGTGCTGACTCACCGCCTTTCGAGCCACTCAGGCCACCAGATCTTGCTCAGTAAGATTTCAGCGACGATCCTGCTGTTATTCCTGAAATGGCTGTAGCTTGTGTGCCCCAAGCGCAGAATGCACCGCATTTTAGAGTACTGCACTGGTACTAGCTCTGTGCTAGATGCGAATTGAGATTGTTTTTACCACACAACACCGGGAACGAGTGCCGCAGGGTGCGTATCAGGTCAAAGAGGCGCGGCGACGGCGTGCTTAGTGCGGGGCGCGTGATGGATATAATTCGAAAGACTCCTCATGGACGTGCTGGCGGAGAGACATCCGCAGGGTACATCGACGTCAATTTGGGCTCGCGGGCTCAAAAGGAGTCGGCTGATCGCAAATAATAACCTGGCTATACATATGTACCCTGCCAGCGTGCACAGTCCCTCTCGGATCAGATACGGCCACTTCAGGAGTGGGAGAGTATTCAGCATTATTGAGGCGTACCGGGGCCTGTCAGATAGACCTCAATCTGCGACTCGTCCCGAAGTCGTCGCTTGGACGACATAATCCGGGAGCAACACGGAGCGACCAGGGTGTGCGGGATCAACCAAAATCCCGCCGTCATTGTGCGGGTTGGAATGCTCCGAAATGGGCTACAACCCGAACTCCGTGTATGACCGAAGGAAGAGAGAGCACGAGCCAATTAGGAAGTGAGGAGGTATATTTAAGACGTACTTCAGCACACATGAGGTAGCGACGCCACAAGCGACGAGTGGACCCGTATAGGACCGGGTTATACGTGGCGAGCGAGTAGAGGCGATAGGCGGCAATCCGTTATGAGGTGAGGCGCTTTCTGGATGTCGCGATTCTGGTTGGCAAAGGCAAGCAAAGTGTCAGTTTGCGCGTCGCCTACCTCTCTGTTCAACCTCGAGGCATCATGTCGGAATACCAAGTTGTTCCCTTGGATATGGTAGTTCGGGCAGGGGCGGTGCATTCAACCAAGACTCCTGAATAGCAGATACAGTTCAGAGGCAGCCAATGTCGAACCTGTCGCGATGTCAGTGATGAAAGACTCAAGAGAGGAGTCAGGACTGAGCCCGGACGGCAACCACTAATACATACTTAGCGCGAACGGCCCGGGCGAAGTGGCAGGCAGGCAGCAAGCGCCCTTTTCACGTGACCTTGTCTGTGGCTCAGCAGAACGTGTCAACTCTGTTCAGTTAAGCGACATTCATCTCGGATGGCCAAGTTGCTGCTTGGCTGGCCTAGGAGGAATTATCTCGACACGCAGACCTAGGCTTCAACTTTTTCGGTGGAATGGCAAGCGATATTCCTGTCGAGCTGCTATTTTCCGCCGCATTTCCTTTACCCTTTCGCGTCCTCAGCCTCGCGGGGCTTGGGATTATTGGCTGGGCGACAAACCTCCATGGCTTGCATTTGGTCGGTCTCGACGCTAGCTCAGTCTTGGATCTCGACCACCGTGATCCGCGTCCAGGTGGACACGCGTTATCGCCTTTGCCTTACTCTGAGCGCACAAGCGCAGGACGCGGATATATGCAATGTCCCTCTGCGTTCTATAGACCTCTATACAGATTATTTGCTGCGTATTCTGTATGGTGTATAGTAAACTGGCTTGCGTACAGATACTCGACCGTCGGCGACATACTCCGAGTAGACATCTTCAAGTTTATCCCTGCTGTCGCCGGATTGGTGGTGTTGACGGTGCTCGTATGTCCCTTCAACGTATTCTACAAAATAGAGCGTGATAGATTTCTGCAGTGAGTGTTCTTCTATGCGTGGAAACGCCGCCGCGCCAATTCTTTTTCTCATGTATTGTTTCGAGCTAGTGCGCTGCATAGATGCATGTTCCCCCCACGCCATCGTATATCCTTTTCTGATGTAGTGTTTGCCGACATTCTCACATCGTCCGCCAAAGTCATCGGCGATTTGTGGTTATCCTTCTGTATGCTCATGCCCGGAGGAAGTCTTCTTGTACAACCGACACCGACCGGCTGGTCACGTTGGATCTTGCCTACTCTGATGAGGTGATAGAGAATTCCTTTATCAACGTATGCATTCGTGTGGCTCACAAAATGGCCCACAGCGTACCCTATGCTATACGTTTCAGGCAGTGTCTGATTGATTTTAGATCATCCTCGAGCGACAGTCGACGCCCCCTATTCAATGCCATCAAATATGCAACCGCATTCCCCGTAATATACTTGTCGGCGGCACAACGCCTTACTGTCCCCGAACCAGAAGTTTTCGGAGGGCTCGCAGAAAAATCCTCACATTCAACATACACCGATTATGCATTATTCCGACTCTGGTAGGCGTTGCCCAAAGTAGTCGCACGTACTCGAGAAGACTGACCGTGGGTTTTGAAGGCTCTTCTCTGCCGCCGTCAATTCGCTATATTCGTTCTGGTGGGACGTTACACACGACTGGGGTTTTGATCTTCTTGTCCCGCGATCTGCTGCGTCTGGACCTGTTGACCATCGTCCTCACCATAATTCCTCACCCCCAAGGCCATTAGTTCTGCCGCGCTTGCACTCTCATGCTACCCTTCCAACCACGGGTGCCATTCCTCCCAAAAATGAAAAGGAGTTTGCTCACGAAGACGGACACGCACCGATTTTAAAGCAGCAGAGGCAATCGCATCCGTTCGGGTTGAGACCGAAGTTACTTTTTCCGCTGCCGGTATATCCTTTTGTGATTGTCGCTGACCTCATCTTACGTCTCACGTGGAGCGCCAAACTGTCGAGTCACCTGCACATGTATGCGGAGGGGGACTTGCTGATTTATTACTTTGAGGTTGCTGAAATGGTGCGGCGCTGGATGTGGGTTTTCGTAAGGGTGGAATGGGAAATGTTGAAAGAAGGAAAGGAAGCTCACAGCCGACGGGGAACGTCCGGAACGGGTCGATCTGAAGGAACCCGGGTGGATGAGTACGAGATGACGGTACCTTCAGATCAAAATGATGGTGCTTCTTCGGGCGGGTTGCTAAGTCTGGAGGTGAGTAAACACATGCCTTTCGCGAAGGTCGATAAATGAATGTAGCCTCATCCAGGGATACGGACCTGATCACTGATGACCCAATCATAATTGCCATAGAATATACCCCTAAGTTGCAATTAACATCTGCTCGTCTAAATATTATAATTTGCACCTGATGCACGTGAACGTTTGGCTGACTTTGACGTCTCAGGATGGCTAGTTTCATGAAATGACGGATCCAAAAGGTCCGGGAGTGTTCGGGATGGGAGACATGTGGCGGCCGCGGGGAGCAACATGACTGGCCATCTGACAATGTGCATTCCGGAACGGCGAGGAGGCTCGTCACAGGCTCGTTCAAAGACGCTGAATTTGAATTTGACTGCAATGTGCGTTATCCTTCTGCAGCATAGGTACGCATAATAGATTTCCATCTTCTGGAAAGCTAAGAATCTCGGAATATATCGCGCACTTCCTGTGAGGCTGAGTGAGCACGCGTGAGTGCTGGACGGGATGCTCCCAAGCAACCGTTTATCCGTCAGACTGACAGTCAGCTTGGGGACAGAGAATACTAGCCGTGGTGAGCGTGCCTTGGCAGGTGAGTGCGATGGGAATCAGATGGCCGGGGCCACACGCTCATGACAGCTATCTCGTCTCTTGCAGACGGCGGTCCTCACCGAGCGTGGTCGGGATGGCCGGAGACAGACCAGCGCGGGCATCGTCGCGGGTGCGCAGACCTCGTGGATTATCGGAAGCACCAACCGAGGGGGGGGACCGTCCGCGATGGCGAGCCGCGTCCAAGGAGCAAGTCGGCGCGCAGCCACACGTGACCGTGCTAATTCGGGCAGAGTGGCTGCGTCCCTAGCGTCCTGCGCAAGAGTTCGGTTTGGCCAAGAGCCATCTCTCCGCTCTCTGCAACATCACCTGGCCTGCCATCGATGATTGGTCGCTGACTATTCCTGTTTCATCCATCGCCTTCTCCCCTCGCTCACGATATAAAGGGCTCCCACTCAGCCATGGCATCCAGTCCACTATCCTCATCACCTCTCCCAACTACACTCCCACTACTCCATCCCTAGCATCATGAAGGCAAGTCTGTTTTCCGCTTGTCAACGTTGGTTGTCCTGACTGTGTGCACAGGTCCTCGCAATTTTGTACAAGGGCGGTGAGGCCGCAGAACAGGAGGCTCGTCTTTTGGGCACGGTCGAGAACCAGGTATGTGGATCACCTCTATAACCTTTTCATTTCTAACAGAGAACGTAGCTCGGCCTCCGCCCTTGGCTCGAGTCGGAGGGACACGAGTTTATTGTACGTACATTTTCGACACCGGGATGTCATTTTCCATCTCACGTCTGTTCAGGTCACCGACGATAAGGAGGGCCCTGACAGCTTGTTCCAGAAGCACATTGTCGATGTAAGATCGCACATTTGGTCTTCCATATTAACGCCCAATTAATGTTAATGTTGCTCCCGCAATCCTATAGGCTGAGGTCTTGATCACGACACCCTTCCACCCCGGTTACCTGACCCGCGACCTCATTGACAAGGTAAGGACGATCGTTTCGATTAATATACGATCGCCAAGTCTAATGCAACGTTCTTCGTATAGGCCAAGAACCTCAAGATCTGTATCACTGCTGGTGTCGGATCGGACCACGTCGACCTCAATGCTTGCGTTGAGCGCAAAATTCAAGTACTCGAGGTCACTGGCTCAAACGTCGTCTCAGTCGCCGAACACGTCGTCATGACCATCCTTCTCCTCGTCCGCAACTTTGTCCCCGCTCACGAGATGATTGAGCGCGGAGACTGGCAGGTGTCCCAGATCGCCCGCCAGGCCTTTGACCTTGAGGGCAAGGTTGTTGGCACCATTGGCTGCGGTCGTATTGGTTACCGTGTCCTCCAGCGTCTCATGCCCTTCGACTGCAAGGAGCTTCTCTACTTCGACTATGCCGACCTCCCTGAGCGTGCGTCTCCTTCAATATCCTACATCAGCATGTTTTGACATATACTCCTTTTCTAGACGCAGCCAAAGCCATCAAGGCTCGCCGCGTTGCAGACCTCAAGGAGATGGTGTCGCAGTGCGACATCGTCACCGTCAACGCTCCCCTCCACGAGGGTACTCGCGGTCTCGTCAACGCTGACCTCCTCAAGCACTTCAAGAAAGTAAGCATTGAACTTTGCTCAAGACGTATTAACGTTAAGCATCTCCCGTCCTTAGGGTGCGTGGCTCGTCAACACTGCCCGTGGTGCGATTTGCGATCGCGAGGCTGTCGCTGAGGCGGTCAAGAGCGGCCACCTCGCCGGATACGGTGGTGATGTGTGGAACGTCCAGCCCGCGCCCAAGGACCACCCATGGAGGACGATGAAGAACCCCCTTGGCGGCGGAAACGGCATGGTGCCCCACTACTCCGGTACCACCCTCGACGCCCAGGCGCGCTACGCGAACGGCACTCGTCTCATCCTCGAGAACTACTTGACGAACAAGCCCCAGCCGCCAGAGCACGTCATCGTCGGTGTTGGCAAGTATGAGACCAAGGCGTACGGTCAGCGTTGAGACCGGGTGGTGTCCACTGTGTGGTTGGATACCTCTCTGCTTCTTGCTCTCTGGGTTTCGCACTATTGGCATCATACAGCAGTATTGAATGAATGTATTTATATCACAACGATCCGCAAAAATACCAGGCATTTGGTCTATTTCCGTTCTCGCATGAGCTGAAAGTGTTGACGAGTTGTACATGTTCCTTGCATGTTCCTGTTTGGCAAGTGCACGACGCGAGAAAACTTTCGATCGCTGGCCGTTGCTGTTCATACACGCACTCTGACAATCGTTGTTTACATCTGCCTATTGATGCGTCATCATCGTTGGCTGATTTCCAGAATATCCCAATATCTGAACCAGGAACCCAGGTAGATAAAGATAAACACGAACAAGAGTCCAATATTGGGTCTAATGATGCCCATTATTATACGGCATACGTCCATCACAGTAATCGAGACTTCGAGCAATGGCACTCGTCGCGACCCCATTCGATGTATGGATTAGCGTTGCTCCGACAAGCGGCCGTAATTCGCCCGTCGGGACAGGGTGTCCATGTTAGCGGCCTGCACCTTGAGCAACGCAGAGAGCAAGTTGTGGAACGTGGAGGGAGATCCGGACCGATAATAGCTTCGATCGTGCACGAATCTGGGCTCTGGAGCAAGTGCGGGGGAGGGCTTCCTGCGAAGGCGGCGCCATAACTTGATAACGGCCATCTGTCTCTTCCTCACTGCTGCCTGTGGTTCCGTAACAGAGGACGCCACATCATGAGGGGACGTCGTGTCCATGCGCTCTTCATCGATCAGCATCCACTCGCTCGTCTTCGATGCCCACTCCCAGTTGATTTCGTTGACGTGCACCGGCAAGCTCGACGCGCCGTCGAGGATTCCGAGGGAATTAACGTCTGCATCGAGTTTGGCTACCGGCGGCTGGCCTGGAATGTTCGGAGAGTCTGACCCGAGAGCGTCGCAAAGTTGGGAGAACATTTCTTGAAAAGATGCAAAAAGACGGCCGCCGCAGATAGCTCCCACAGAACGGCGCGCAGGTGTCGATGGAGAAGCTTTTGGAAGCGGAGGCTGCGCGCACGCCGGATGGAGGCTTGAGCTTAAATGGCAACCATGGGGTTGCATTCTTGACCGATCGTCCTCGCCAGCCTGAGCGGCTGAACTTTGAACTCGTACCCGCGACCAGGTGCGGTCACATAATCGATACCACACAATCCTTGAATCAAGTAATTTCGTCAGTGCGAACCAGTTGAGAGGAGTCTCCATTCAATCAATTGCAACGAGATCCGCTGTCCACTACCTGCGGTCTGTCAATAGGCGCTGCAATGAGGCTTGATGTCAGCCGAAGCTGTCAAAAATGAGACTCCTCTCCACCTGCAGGAACATGTACGTCCCTATGCGATGAATATCATGCGATGGGGATGGCCGTGACCCGCATGACGGTCGTGAATGTCAACAGTGAAATTTGTAGGCACGGCTGAGATCTAGGCGTGTACTTTGAAACGAGATCAATTAACTTGAGCTGGGGAGAAGGACAAGACGAGGTCGTGATAGTTGAGACGGGTGTGCACGGCTGATATACTCACTATCCAGTACTCAACTTTGGAGCTGGCCAGCACATAGAGATCAAGTGAGGGCTGGAGAACAAGCACCAGGGGGGTGGCCACCTATATGAAGTTGGACAGGAGCACTGTATAGTGTGTATCATCAGCAAAAACCAGGACTGTAGTTATTTATTTACAAGTGAGTATAAACCTCACCAGTATGGCATTACTTGTCATACCGGATTGCAAATTACCAGTTAAATCTACAGGCTGTATGGTTTTGAAAATACAACACCGACATTTACAATTGGCATGCTGTATGGTGTTCAAATGTAAATAAGCTTCCTGAAATGCATCGAAAAACCAATTGCTTACCGTTTCGATAACGTACTGGCATTTCGATTGCAGCAAGATGAAGTTTGAATAACAGTAGGCATTTCCCCTGCGTCGGATTGCATACAGTATCGCTCGTCCAGGCTCTTAATACGAATGCTGCTAGACAGCTGGCATCCTGTCGCGATCGGCGGTGCTTGCGCCTACGCTCGGCACGTCAGCACACGACAGCCTACTGGATGCGCGCAGTCAACTCACCACCGGTCGTTGTATGGCGTCACGGCGATCCCACGGCCGACCAACACAAACTGGCTCTTCGCGAACGCCTCTTTGCGCGACGAGAGTGCCGACCCGTCCATCACTATTCAGACAAGTCCTTTGTGACGCCCGGGTCAGACACGACCACGACCACGAGCAGCTGGTTTCCCAGCCACACCAAGCACAGCGCCTCAAGCTTCTTGCGCCAGCAGTCGAGCGTCAGCTCAGGGCAGTGTATCAGGAACGGGAACGAGCCTGTACAGTCAGATGCAGCGTGAGCAGACGCGATATCAAGAAGGCTGCGGGAGACATAGTGGCACGAAGGAGAATTGTCAGGTTTTGCGGGCGCAGATGATTAGTACACCAGGGTAGCGGAAATTATACAACCGTTTTCGTTCCAGTTGTGCTCAGCTAGAAATTTATTGCACTGGTAAGTGTTTATAAGTACCTACAAAAGCCTGCCATACCGCAATGCGTATTGCAATCGTTCTCGATGCTACAACAGTATGCAGGAGAATGCACATGCCATCACCATGCTGCAATGCCAAGCCACTAAGGTATCGTTCTACATACATATGCATGCAGAGAAATTTTAACATTCAATTTACAATCGCTATCGTCGAATACATTCCGGTTCTGATTTTGCTGATGATGATGCTGAGACAAATTTCTACATGCACGCCCGAGTGTTGGACATTTGCCAAAGGAGGTTTTTGGCGGGATGCTGTGCAATGTTCACGACCTCATCTAACCACAGAAAGATCAACCAGAGGCCTGTGTCACTTCAGTTGAAGTGTGTAGTCCCATGATTCGATGAGCATTCGCCTGCAGCGCTGGAGCCTATTGTGAGTCCTTAAACCCTCACATATAGTCGTGGGCGACAGGTATCGAGCCTGTGCCAGCTTGGGCTTTTGAAGCAAACTCAACGTCGGGCCTGCCTCATAAAACACTGCGCCCCTCGGCAAGCAGGTCTAATTGCAGCGCGCGGGAGGAGAATGATATGTCAGGACTCAGCGATATTGCCCAAGCCGTCGTAGAGACTGGAAGAACGTGGACATATGCGTACCGTTGCAGCACGTTCCAGCTACATCCATAATGATAGGCCCATTGTCAAAAGAGCGCGCAGGCGGTGCACTCGGCAGATATGCACCTTCATGCACACCCCTAACATCTAAGCGCGTTGCGATGACCAACGTCGGACCATCGCCTTTGGCGAACCTCCCGCTCTCGTGTTCGGTTATGTACGTCTCAATTTGCTGGCGGTCAGCGGGGCTAATGGTGCTGAACAGGTCGCAGAAATGCTCACCAATAATGCATGGTCTCGGAAGAGGATCGAGCAGTCGGTCATTAAGTGATACCCAATGGCTGACAAGGAGTCCGGTGAAGGCTGGTGCCCGTTCGATGTACACACCCGCAATGCAATATACCCGACTCCCAGCGGGGGCATCAACGGGCCTTCCGCGCAGTCTTATAAGATTTGAATGTTCAGGTTCTATTAGTTTCTGAAACAGTAAAAGCAGGGGTTCTAGGTTGCATCCGCATTGCGTTCAGGTTGAAGAGGACAACAAGACGCGTTTCATGCCGCCCCATGCACGAGCCAAAAGACCATGCTTTTGAGAGCAAATATCCAAGAGAACTTGGTGGAGAGTCGATACGTGAATAGAGTTCTACTCGCAGATGGGCGTCGGTAAAATATGAGGTCAGAAGCATCGCAAAAAGCTATACCCAGGTCAAACAAGGTAGATGTTCGAGCGATCTGCGTTTACTGAAAGTCGTCCAACACAACCGGTGTTTCCGGCGCATTTGCATCAGCGTCGATTAACGGCATGAGGCGTCAGTCGACGTTATTGAGACTAAAGCACAAAACTCGCATTAATGATTCAGCAATCCAGCTAGAAGATCCAAACAGTCGAGTCTCATGTCTGCTCCTCCTTGACTTTGTACAACGCGACCTGCTCTTTGAGAACCCTCTCCAACTTATTTGAGTTCTTCCAGTATATTGATCCCTCTGGGTTGTACGTCCGGCAATTGTCGAACACAAGCTGCGCATCTGCAAGAAACGCATTGAGATTTGGGTACTGGTTTGTCTCCAGCTTGTGCTCCATTGTACTAAAATCTGATGAGGAGATATAGAAGTGAGCAAAAATAGTTCAACGTAAAATGAACGATTGAAATGGTATACCCATGGGGTTCTTGATGATCTCATGGTAGTCTGCGACCTCTTCAGCAGTGACGGGCTGTTGAAATGGCCACGCCTGGGTATGATTCCGAAGGTCGGAGAGGAGCTTCTCCATAATACTATGCTCAGCGCTCCTCCCGACCGGGCGTGCGGTCCTAGGTTTCGACAAATCAGGACTAATGAAGTAGCCGGATTCATGAGCTATGGCACTGACATCACCGCCATAGAGGGAGTCCATCCACTTTCCCCTTCAAGGGTGCATGATTCAGTCCAATATTTGCGGTACCAAATTCGAAGACGACATACTCAAGCCAGGCACGTCCTTAGGATCGACTGTTACGCCCTCCCCTTCACCCTCCATGAACTGAGGCAGACCGTCGTAGACGATATGACTCCGCGACATCTCTCGAATCTTAGTCAGAATTGCCTCCCTCTGCTGCGCAATAATATCCCTCGTCTTCAGATAGTCAACGTTGCGTAGCAAGGTACACTGCATGATCGTTCCGCCCTCGTAATCCTTGATGTACCCCGCCCACACCGAGCGATCGAGCGTGATCTCCTTAGAAAACCCTTGCTTGCGGAAGTATCCGACGGCGTAGTTGTCGGCATATGTGAGGAAGTGCCACATGTCGGGATACGTACGGCGTATATGCGCTTTAAAGTGATCCATCAACATTGACCCGTAGCCCTGACAAAGTCAAGAGTGAGCGAGACCTCGTGGAGGATCACCTAAAATCATAACACTAACCTTGACCTGGTCAACGGAGGTTGTAGCAAAAAACACAATCTCCGCAAAGCCACGGTGAGGGAACGGTCGATAGCAAATCCCTCCAACGACTTTGTAGCCACGCTTGTAGATCGCCAGACACTTGGAATTCGAGTCATAGACAAGCCGGGCGATGTACTCGCGTGGCATCTTCGGTAGCTGCTTCTGGAAAAGGGTTTTCAGGCCAGTGAGGATGACTAGCGAGCGAGGAGTGCAGTCATTCTCCACTGCCATGATTTTGATGATTCCTTTCCGTAGCTCGATATGGGCGACTTTCTCTGGCTTTCCAGGAGGCTTCAGGATACACACATCAGGCAGATTTTGAATTAAGAAGCACAGGTGCGCACCGCAGATAAAGCCGCCCCGCCAGCGTCGACAGTCACACCCGTGGCCAAACGCGTCAATTGGCTTTCGTCCATCTTGTCTTCGACCTTGACTTTCATTTCGTGCCCATTAGCACCGTCAGCAGGCCGGCTCATTTCAGCCTTCTCTTCGTCCGTCGGAGGCGGTATCGTCGTCGGGGCGGTTCGCGCCTGCGCCTTGGACTTCATGCTGGAGGACTTTTTGCCACTGCGCTTTTGTCCTCTTGCGTGGCGCGCTGCAGGCCCTTTCTCGGATTGATTGACTGTGGCTGATATGACTGCGTTTGTCACGCGAGCGGCAAGAGGTCTGTCCTCTTCATCATCCTCCTCCTCGTCATTGCCACTCAGCGAGGAGAAGGATACGCGTCGCTTCTTTGTCGGAGGCTCCGACGCGTCGAATGCATCGCTCAAAAAAGATGAGGCGGGAGACAATGGTTGCTTCCCTGGGGATGATGGTACTATGAGCCGTTCGGAAGTACAGAGTCAGGTAAGCTTGAGTTAGCATCTGAATGAGACACACCAAGAGAGCCTAAGGCTTCCGATATTGAGCTCGCAGGTGATGATGGTGGGAGTTGCATTTGCTGCCGCAGACCATTGATGTCATCGTTTGTGTATTCAAAATCGAGTAACTTGCCCTCGTCCTAGAGCGGTATCAAATTGTGGAACTCAGAACGAGACACCGACCCGCACCTACGTGACGGTCGCTATCGGTTAGCGACAAGAGACTACATTGGAATCAAAAAGGGCTTACCTGAAGGAGTTCGTCGAGTCGGACCGCGACACGACCCCGGCGAATGAATTCAGCCTTCCCTAACGAATCCTTCTCCGCACCGTGGTCAGCAGGGCCATGTCCGCATGCACATGAGTCCAAAAACTGAGCAGCGCCCCCATCTGTCTCGGGCAATGCATCCAAGTCGAGCGCAACTGATGCGCCTGGTGGTGGTCGGAGTCCCGGGCAGGAGGAGCACGCGAGGCAGGTTGAGTGGCGGGCAATTTTGATGGCGAGAAGGTCATCAGACAGTTTGGGTATCTCGTGTGAAGCAGGGTATAGGACTTTCATCGCTGCAAAGTCAAGCAAGTCTGTAGTTATGGACAACGCGACGATGAGTCGAGCGGGGCTGAGGACGTCCGAGGACCCGGAACACCGCCGACGCTGCCGACGAATGATCGAGTGTCCTCAGCGACTTGGCCCAATTGGAATGTGCAGTCGGCTCGCTTTCAAGTTCTTGCCTTTTGCTCATCGGCCATGCTGAAGCAACGAGAGAGCTTGGAAAAGCTTGCGCCCATCATGTTTGCGCTGATCAAAGTCAATGTCGGCGCCCCCGACGGGTGGCTTACAGCGTTCACGGTCGCGCGCACACTTTCCTCAGTTTCATATCCTGCGTTTTGCTTGCAGATTGCGCTACCGCCTGCCACCGGCTCTGTCACTCTTTCATGCGATACCCAGCAGACTCATAATGATACTAACTTGGCGGCTACACCACATCATGCTTAGCTATGCCTTCCTCTCTTTTCTGGTGGCTCGGGGACTGGCGACAGACTGGATAGACTATCCCGCCGATGGGACAGCAACACTCACTACCTATACCCTTCCGGAAAACTTCATTGCCGCGTGCGGTTGCACCGCCGATAGTACACATTATCCCACCGCTGCTATGAGCGAAATGGCATATGGAAGCAGCGCGGCATACGGCCCAGGATGCGGCCGGTGCTTTAACATTACCCTCCTCAACACCTTCAACTCAGACCCCCCCTTCTATCCGGAGGAGCATCCTAGTGTTGTCGTGAAGATAACGGACCTCTGTCCTTCGGGCGGGAACGGTTGGTGTTCTGCGACGGCGAACAAACCTAATGCGTATGCGACATTCTATCCAGCACGCGCCACAGACTGATCATCTTCATCTGCGACATCCCACAGAGGTGGGGCTTATGTCAACTTTGATTTGGCCTGGCCGTCGAATTCCATTCCTGACGACTTCTTTCCTTCTAACGCCTCGTTGTACGGTGAGTTCAACCGAAACTCTAGCACTGTGTGTCATTTGACTGATCCCTGCGGCAGGTTATACGGTCAGTATTGTTGCTACCGCGTGCGAAGGCGAACTTCACTGAACAGGATGCGCCTGTTCATGCAGGATTTTGGAGTATGGAATGTCAGCTACCAAAGTGTGGATTGTATGAACGATTGGGAAGGAGCCCAGAATGCTGCGGCTCTCGGCAGCGCGGCCGACGTAGGTAGCGTTTGTTGCCCCGCTAATCCGTCGGTATGTCCTACGCATACCTCCAACACATTTCTTTTTTTCGACGCTCACACAGGGGAATGATACTTGTCCGTCATATTCAGACGCAAATGGCATTCCGTGAGTACTACCACTGCCTTTGTCTGGTGCATTCCGCCGATGATTGTGCAGTCCAGATACCACCTCGGCATCGTCTTCCGCAATGCTGCTAATACCCGACAGCTGGCTGTCTACGGTCCTGTGTTTCACAATGTTGTTAGTCTACTTTGGGGTTGGAGGCGTTTGAACGGTTGTACGGTGTTATCGATTGCTGTTTGTACTGCTGTCCGTTACAGCATTTCCATACGAGCAGGCACAGAACAGTGTTTCCTGATCTATCGTGCCTATATATGGCCCATTCTATGTACCTGTCTTGAGATACGCACACTTCTAGTGTTTGCCACAACCATCCGCATGACGCACTGCTGATCACCGAGATCGTGGGCTGCGAAAATAATGTCGGTAACTCCGGAGGAAGGCCCGAGTCCGAGATATCTCGGAATGGTGCGAGGACCCTGAGAGCGCACTCCGCTTGCCTCCACCCAACATCCATCTCCAGACCAAATCATCGCACTCTCATTCGGGTGCTTTGGTCAATATGGCGACACCAGACTCTGCCAAGCCGACATACATCTACAAACTCATTCCCTCTGATGCAGCCCCTCCGGATCCCCTTCCGTCCGCTCTCCCTGTGAGTGAGCTTGACAGATCATCCGGCTTCATCCACCTCTCGACCGCAAAACAGGTCCCGAACACGCTCAAACGCTTCTTCACGAATGAATCGCGTGTATACATCCTGCGCATTCCGTATGACCCGATCGAGAGCAATATCAAATGGGAAGACCCAAGGGGGGAGGCGGCCGGCCCCAGAGGCGGCGAAGGGATGTTCCCCCACCTTTATAACGACTTCAAGGTGGGAAATGAAGAAGTCGAGAGTGTGGGCGTCTGGGACCGGAAGGACGGCCAAAGTTGGGACGAGGCACTGGAGAGCGCGAACGAGTGGCTTTTGTATTAAATGATTGAGTCGTTCATTTGGAAGGGGGACTGAGACTCCGCACAGATCCTCGATCTCAGGCGGAATGGGGACTTTGAGTAATAAGTGTATATCCATATGTCACATTCACCACATTCTACCTCAGCGATGCTCAGCGAGTCCGTCGTGTTTAATCTTAGAACAATCTGCAGCGGTAGAAGCAACAATCGCTCGTCCGAATAGAACGATATGAGGTGTAGTCTCCCCGCTGATTGAACCATCGATAGAACAACATAGTATACCATGATGCAACTTATATCAGTAGACTCTGACAACGATCCAACCGTCCACGGCTCGCGGTCTTCCTGCAGAAAGCGTTCCACGACAGCGACTAACTGCAGGCCCGTCTGCAAAGGGTAACACGGCACATAAGCATCTTGGTGACATCCATAGTCCAGGTACACGAGACATAAAAGTGTTCATGATGAGCTGTCGCGAGTAGTTTCAGGAAATTATAACACTGATAGTAGCACTTAGCCGCATCGAAGGGTCGAGACTGGCCAGCTCTTCTGTTGTGATTGAATTGTAAGTGCCCACGAAGTTACCGGTAGCGTGGTGATGTAGACGTCCACGCGTCGCGCTATAAATTCGACTTGCGAGCTTGACCCTTGGCATATGCACGAGCAGAAGCGAGCCATGGAGAGACGCTACAGAATGGATTGACATTTGCACTACCGACGAAACAGAAAGTTATCTCTCTAGATCATGGTCAGTATCTACCTCACGATATTGAGCACGTTCCCGTCGACTGAACAATCGCTTGACCCATTGAATACCACCCAAGTGCGAGAAAAGTATGCCCGCGCCGAAACTCAGTACAAATAAGAGTAAAGTGGGGAGCAGACCTATGCCCTTTCCAGTCTTGTCATCCACATTGTCCACATCAGTGGACGTCGACGAGCTAATCGATTCAGAGACATCAGCCGCGGGCGCAACTGATGCAGAGACGGCTGGGGTGTTGGTCTTCTCGGACATAGGTGAAGTCGCTGACGAAGTGGCGGATGCCGGGCTGGACGTCTCAATTGACGAGACCGC